CTGAGTGGCAGGTGGTCATTTCCACGGATGCGTCTGCTTATGGACTGGGTGCTGTCTTCTCGCAAATAGACCCTGATGGACAGGAGCGCACCATTGCTTTCGCTTCCAGAACACTTTCGACTGCAGAACAGAAATACTCCACTGTGGAAAAGGAGGCCCTGGCTTGCGTGTGGGCAGTTGAGAAATGGAGGACATACTTATGGGGCCGCAGATTTATTCTACGGACTGATCATCAGGCTCTGACCACATTGCTGACCACAAAAGGAACTGATCGTGCTGGCATGCGAATAGCACGGTGGGCCGCTCGGTTACTATGTTTTGACTATTCAGTTGAATACCGGGCTGGTTCTGAAAACTACACTGCAGATTGTTTGTCTCGTTTGCCTCTGCCTCTCAGAGGTTCAACATCAGATTCTAAACCCGAATTTGTCGCTCTGGTGTCTACAGCCCTAACCGCTATATCCAAGGAGGAGTTTGCTGCTGCCTCTGCTTCTTGCCCTGAGCTCTCGGCACTACGCACACAAATTAGCTGTGGCTGGCCCGCTTCGCTTTCTGCCTTGGATCCTGTTCTGCGACCATACTACAAACTCAGGAATGAGCTCAGTGTACAAGCTGAATTTGTCTTTAGGGGAGCTCGTCTGATAGTTCCGGGAACGTTGCGTGACTCCCTGGTTCGTATTGCACATGAAGGCCATCAGGGAATAGTGCGAACGAAGCAGCGCTTACGAGAAATCTACTGGTGGCCAAAAATGGACATAAGTGTCATGGACAAAATCGCTGCTTGCCAATTATGCCTTTCCTTGGATAAGACTGCTAAGGTTTCTCGTGTTCCACTACAGCCTGTTCCATTGCCTTCTGCACCTTGGGAGAAGTTGGCAATCGATATTGTCGGCCCTTTTGAGACAGCTGTCTGGGACTGTCGATATGTTATAACACTCATTGACTAGTAAGTGGCCTGAGGTCGCTTTTACTGCATCTGTGACTACCAAACAGGTTACTTCATTTCTGAGCACTGTCTTCAGTCGGCATGGCAATCCAACAACCATTGTGACCGATAATGGTCCTCAATTCACTTCACCGGAATTCAATGCATTTTTGAAGGAGAGACAAATTTTGCATATTCGTACTGCAAATTATCACCCTGCTGCCAATGGAGCTATTGAGCGCTTTCATAGAGTGCTCAAAAGTACGATTCAGTCGGCCATTCTCCAGTCGGTTTCGTGGAAGACATCTGTTACTGACTTTCTACAAGTGTATAGAGCTACACCTCACGGCATCACTGGCGTGTCTCCTTTTGAGTTGCTCCACGGCCGAAAGATGCGTACTAGTCTGAACGTTCTGGCTCCGCCACCTGCTGTTGTTGATCCTGTACTCCTTCGAAAGCGTGTAATGGCACGGCAGGAACACATGAAATCACGCTTTGATCAAGCAAGTCATGTCCGTCCTACTTCTTTCAAAAAAGGGGATAAAGTGCAGATTAAAAAACCAATGCATGTGATGAAAGCTCACCCAAAGTTCACTTCTCCTGTGGAGGTAAAGGAAAAGGTTGGCCCTTATACTTACCTTTTGGAAGATGGTAAGAAGTGGCATGTCTCCTGTCTCGCTTCTGTGCCAGATGCAGCAACAAAGGGAAGAGGACACACTAACACTGAACATGGCCAGTCTTCTCATGCTTCCTTGTCTGAAAGCTCTGGAACTTCTGAAATTGTTCCTCTTGAGAAACGCCAGAGTAGAAAACCAGCTTGGCTAACAGACTATGTTTCATAAACAGTGAAATGCACTCCTGAGAGTCATTAGGTTGCTGTGTTTCTAAAAGTGAATATACAGTGACATTGTTGCTTGTTATATTCTGTTCTTATTTTGCTCCTGATGCTTCTGGACAGAAGGGTTCTTATTGTTTCAATTTTGTTATTCTTAACTTTAGTTTGAATCTTTAACTAACCGGGGAATATGTGGTGTAGTTCAATTATGTTCCACTAGATGTCATTACTGGACAGTGGGATTTAGTAGAGAGGATGAGAAGAAGAGAGGTAGAAGTGTGCTGCCATGTACATGTGCGTTCTGTTGAGTGAGAATGGCAGATGTTTATTAAACTTGTAAAAGGACAGTATTGGCCTAATTTCTGATACAAGACATAACACTATTCTTGTCACTTTAGATAGAGGGAAGAATAATTTTATAATCATGTTGAGCTGCTTTGTTCAAAATGAAACAAAAACTAACATCAAACAGCAGTTACATCTTGCAAATGTAGGCAAATTAGGGTGAGACACGATTGTGCTGTTTGTTTGATCTGTTATTTTTGGGAAAATCCCATGACTGTTATAAAACACTGAACAAGTTCTGACTAAGCAGAACTTCAGCACAAACCAAACACCAGCATAACAATTTCATTTGCAAAACAATTAGAAGCCTGAAACTAAAACTGCCTTTTATTGAATCATTTGAGTAGCTTTGATAAAAATACGTATTTAATGTGATGAAGAGCAACTTGTTGATTTTTGATAGCATTTCTAAATACATTGTATGCAGCTTTATGCTTTATTCTTTATTTTGCAGAATCTACAGTTGAAGTCATTTCTAATTACTGATTTATTTCCTCTTTGTCATGATGACAGTAAATAATATTAGACTAGATATTCTTCAAGACACTTCTATACAGCTTAAAGTGACATTTAAAGGCTTCACTAGGGTAATTAAGTTAACTAGGAGGGTTATGGTAATTCATTCATTCATTCATTTTCATTTCAGCTTAGTCCCTTTATTAATTAGAGGTTACCACAGAGGAATAAACTGCCAACTTATCCAGAAAATTATTGTTTTTTTTTTTGTAGCGGATGCCCTTCTAGCTGCAACCGATCACTGGGAAACACCCATACACTCTCATTCACACACATACACTACAGACATTTTTTTGGCTCACCTAATTCACCTGTACCGCATGTCTTTGGACTTGTGGTGGAAACCTGAGCACCTGGAGGAAACCCACACAAATGCGGGAAGAACATGCAAACTCAGATTCACACAGAAATGCCAACTAACCTAGCCGAGGCTCGAGCCAGTGACCTTGCTGTGAGGAGACAGCACTGCGCCCGGTTACGGTAATTAGGCAGGTAAAAAAAACAATTATAGCTTAAAGGGGCTAATAATTTTGACATTAAAATGTGTTTTTTTTTTTTTATTAAAAACTGCTTTTATTCTAGACAAAATAAACCAAATAAGACTTTCTCCAGAAGAAAAAATATTATCAGACTTACTGTGAAAATGTTCTTGCTCTGCTAAACATCACTTGGGAAATATAAAAAAATATATAAGGGGGTTGAAATTTTTCTGACTTCAACTGTATTTATCTAGACTAGACAATATTAAATCTATTATTTCTTCACTGTGGACCTGATGCTGTGTTCACACCAGACGCGGAACACGTGAATAAATCGCGATATTTTTGCTTAAATAGACGCGAGAACATTTTGAGTTGACTCAATTCCTTCGCGCAGAAAAATCGGCGTCATTCGCGCGTCAAATTCACTTCAGAACAGACATGGATTCATGTGTTGGGCTAAGCTTCTGTCTAGTGACTCTAGCTTCATTGCTAAATGGTTAACATGAATTTTATGAAGAAAATAACAGTGTTTGTGTGCTTTATAAAGGCTGAAAAACAGCGCCTATACGTTTAGGGCTGTGTCTGAGTCCACTAGATCCTTTTAGAGGTGCATCAGCTCTGTGAGCTCATAAACTCCTTCAGAAGCTGAATCTGGATGATGAAGGCTTTCAGCGGTGCTTCTGCCCGAGCCCAGCCCAGTTTAATCAACTGTTGTCTGTGAAGGCAGGAGGATTTTCCCCGGGGACACCAACTACAGGCGCTACTTCATAATCACGCCCCCAAAAGAGCAAGCTCTTGATTGGCTATCACCGCAAAAATGTCCTCTGAAGTTAAGAGGAACGAGAGGAAAGAGATTTTGGAACTCGAGCAATTCACGCAATTCGCGCATTGAGAACATCAAACGTGCATAATGCTTAATTCGTGTCATTCGCACGTATTGTGCCGCAGGATGTCTGTTCATGTCTTTGCATTGATTTAACATGTAAATCACTCACACTTGACACTTCTGCGTCTGGTGTGAACACAGCATTTGTTCCATTTTTAATGAAGGTTACGTTTTTCTCAACATTCTCTCGGTTTGGCAAAAACATTTTTAGTAGAGGATGCAGGCCGTGTTTGGTTGAACGTCTGCTGTCTGGATGTTTGCCTGAAAGGATTATCTCTAACTAAGATCTCCTACTTGTTGGTACCTGTGAATGGTGGAAAAACACAGTGTCCTGTAATATCCCTTTCGTCTGGTTTTTACCACGTTTTCTGATTTTACCACATTCTCACCCTTTTACTGACTTTTTTATTTTATTTTTTGGCTTCTGTCTTTGTCTTACCAGCTTTCTGGAACCATTCTTCACCAGACTCGAACCATATGATTGTGGTCAGCTCCTCTCTGCCTCTCAAGTCTATTGACACACATGGCGAGCCACTGGGAAAACTGGTAACAGCAGGAAAGCCGTCCATTAGAGGTAAGAACTCAGCTGGTAAGCATGAAAAGAAACACAGCCATACTGCCTCATAGTGTTCATTTTAAAGATGAAATGCAGCCATATGTACGTCTGGCTACATAATTCACGATCTCCAGAAATGTATATAGGTCTTCGTTTGCAGAATGAGCCTATGTTGTAAAATACACACACATAAATACTGGAAACTTTAAAGCAGAACTAGCCTAAGTGTGTACTATATGTACAGAAAAACCTGTTGACAACACTGAACACATACACAAAAATGATATCCATTAATTGTTCTATTAACAAAGCTGCCAGCTGTATTTTATAACAATATTTTATCTCCATTAGTGTGTAGAATATAATATGCTCAATGAACACACAGGCATGTTGAGACGGGTGTTTATAACAGTTTGTTCAGGAGTAACTGAAAACAGATTGGGAAAGAACGAACTTGACAAGGCTTGTTTAATAGACCAGTATTTCCATCAGCTCACACAGACGCTTTAGCAGAGGGAAGGTGAATGTCTGCTGTGAGGTGGACAGATTTAATCCAGAGATCACCATGGATTCAAGGTGAGTTTTTTTCTTGATTTAGTTTTGTTAAATTTTGCTCCAGATAGCATCACCCCAATGATTAGGCAAGTTTTAGGGGTTTGTCATGTTCAAATTGCAGTGATATTAGAAATCTTAGTGTCCTGTTTGATCGAGCTCTTTGTTTTAATAGTCATGTTAAGTCTGTCATTTATTCATGCTTTTGTCACCTGAGGAACATCGCAAAAATCAGAGATATTGTGTCTAAGGAAGAGATGGAGTTGCTTGTCCATGCCTTCATCTATTTTTGATTGGATTACTGTAATGTTCTGTTCACTTGTCTGAACAAATCCTCAATAGAGCGATTGCAAGTTGTGCAGAATGCAGCAGCGAAGCTTTTAACTAACACCAGTTGCAGCTCACACATTACTCCTGTGTTTAAGGCACTTCACTGGCTTCCTATTAGTTTTAGAGTAAATTTTAAGATTCTGGTTATTACATATAGAGCTCTGCATGGTCAAGCACCCCTGTATTTTCAAGATCCTTAAAGCAGTCACTCATGTAGCCGGTCTCTGAGGTCTTCTGGCAAAGACATGTTAGCCATTCCCTGAACTTGTCTTAGGACTAAAGGTGCGCGTGTCTTCTGTGTGGTGGCCCCAAGGCTCTGGAACTCTCTCCTGCTAGTACTAAGAACTCTGGGATCTGTTGATCTTTTTTTTAATTAGCATTTAAAGACGCATCTTTTTGGTCAAGCTTTTAATTAACAGAATTAGTGTTTCTGTATTTGGATTTTTAATTAGTTTTAAGATGTCTTCTTTTATTATCATGTGTTCTTTTAGTTTTTTTCTCTTATTGTAAAGCACTTTGTGACTCAGTGTCTGGGAAAGGTACTATATAAATAAACCTTTACTTACATTTTCATTAATATGCTCAATGTGCATATGTAGGTGCGTGCATTTTATGTTTTTTCTATCGTTAAATTCTGACACAAATATTGAAAGCTCTATATTTTACAGAAAGCCGAGTCCTTTACAACGCAAGCCAAGTTTGATTCAGCAAGGTCCTCCAAAAAGATTCCGTCTACATACAGAGAGGAAAATACTTGATGATAACGGGAAAGTCAGAAAATGGACTTACGGTACAAAAGACGCCAGTAAACAAAACAAAATCCTTCTGCTGGTGGGAGAGACCGGTGCTGGAAAGACCACCCTCATCAACTCTTTCATCAACTACCTAATGGGAGTGAAGTTTGAGGATGAAATATGGAATGAAATCACAGAAGAAGAAGCCAGAGATCAGTCAGAATCCCAAACCTCTGAAATCACCATGTATGAGGTGTTTCATGTGAAGAGCTCCATTTCTCTCACCATCATTGATACTCCAGGTTACGGAGACACTAGAGGACTGGAGAAAGATCTGGAGGTTGCTGAAAATTTAGCATCTTTGTTTCAAAGCAACGATGGGGTTCGAGAAGTCGATGCTGTGTGTTTTGTGATTCAAGCGGCCAAGAATCGTCTCTCAGACAGACAACACTACATTATCAGCTCAATTCTGTCTCTGTTTGGGAAAGACATTGTGAACAACATTGTGTTTTTAATCACACACTCTGATGGTCTTCCTCCTAAAAATGTCCTCGGTGCCATTAATAAAGCTAAAATCCCCTGCAGACGAGACAAAAATGGTGAACCTGTTCATTTCCTGTTCAACAATCGTCAGGGTGAACCTCGTCACAATGAGAAACGCTACATTCGTGCCCAAAGAGACGCCTGGGATGACAGTATGGATGAGATGAAAGGATTCTTCGACTCTCTGGATGAAAAGAACAGAAAGAGTTTAGAGTTGACTTCATATGTCTTGATTGAGCGCATTCAGTTTGAAGCATTTATCTGCAACTTTCAGCAGAGAATCCAGGAGAAAGAGCTGAAGAAGGCTGAGAAACTTCAGATTTATGAAGCAATGACACAGAACAAGGACAAGATTGCAGAATCTAAAAATTTCAGCATTAGAGTCAAAAAGACTGTCAAGATTCAAGTGCCAATTGAGAATGCGTCATGGAAACACAGAAAGGCGACGACCTGCACGGTCTGTGAGGAGAACTGCCATGAGTTTGACTGCTGGTGGGTTACTGATCCCAAGAATTGTGAAGTCATGAGAAACGACTACTGCACTGTGTGCACAGGGAAGTGTCACTACAGCAAACACGTCAAGGAGAACAAGAAATACATCATCAGCACGTCATACATTATGATGGAGTTTGATGATTTTAGAAAGGAATATAAAAAAGCTGAAGAACAGACGAAGAGGTTTTCAATTATAATGGACGATCTTGAGAAAGATCTACGGGACATTGATGACCAAAAGTCAGTTCTTCTGTTCAATGCTTACAAAACCCTCAAGCATCTGTCTCAGATCGCTCTAAAACCAGACTCTGCCTTCACTCTCCAGCATCTGGACTTCTTCATCCCCAGAGTGAGAGAGGCTGGGAAAGAAGACTGGGTTCGGGAACTGGAGGAGATGAGGACAATTGCGGTAGCCGAAGAAGCCAATAAAGACGCTCTGAGTTACCTGAAAGCTGGACTCACAAAACTCTTCATCAATGAGAAATGAACAAAAAAAAAAAAAACAAGTCAACAGATGAAATAGTAAAGATAAGGAGACTGCTTACAGTGAGAATGCAGGTTATGTTCTGTAGATCCCTTTTATAGTTCTTTTAAATGGTAATGCACTCTAGTCAAACATGCTTATAAACTACAATATGGATGAATACTGGGGTACCTGATGGTGGCATCTGCTAACACTCAATTTTTCAATCGTGCTATTGTTGTTTGAGCATTTTTACATTTCATCTTCACTAATTGCTGGGACCTTTAATTATTGCCTTTATTATAAGACTGCCCTCAGATTTTGTTGCCTGTTTTTATTTACATGAATTGCATTAAGCATTGCATTTGCTACAAACTTTTTTTGTATTAAAGGAAGAGGCTGGAACGTTCAGCAAATTGAACAATAAAAAAATAAATAAAAAGAAAATAAAAATAAAAATTTTGTGCTTTTTTTTTGTGGGACTCAATACTTCTAAAACTTTAACATTGCCCTGCCCCCACAACTCTTGGCCCCGCCCACACTCGTTACAACTGCAAATCACAGTTGTTGTGCTCTGCATCGTTGTGTACATGTATTTACACTTTTGAAAGCTCTGCATCAGGCATCATGTGCATATATTACTGTAGTTGTTGTGTTACCCTAGCTGTAGAATCACCAAAACATATGACTTCAAGTACTTTATTATGAAACACCACAGTATTTACCATGATTTACTATAACATTTTTATTTTTATTTTTTGGCTCTGAATGGCTCACCAAATAGTTTCATTTATTTAGCTCTGCTGTCACCTGTTGATAGTACATGTTGCATCCTCTTCCTCTAAAGCATTATGCCAGGTAAGTGTTTTATTTTTATCACTATTTCTGTTTTCTTTGAGGAATTTGAAAAGCCTGCTTTCTAATTATCTTAGGCAATTTTAGTGTTAATCAAAAGCATTGTTCATTTACAAAATAAACAGTTTACATTCATTTTAGATTCCTTGTTTCTGTAATATGGTCAGTGTCCACTAGAGGGTGAGGAGATCCTGAAGCAAAATGAGCTTTCAGATGACAACAGGACTGACACAATGAGCTTAAAGCTACTTATTGACACCTAAGCTGTGATGTGTGTGTATTAGTTGATTCATCCATTCAGTAATACAAAAATATTTGTAGAAACAAAGAGTTACCCTTTTTTCAAAGAAGATCTGCTTGCCAAGCTCCCTTAACAGTAAGGTTGAGTTCTTGGTTGATGATTTACGTCAATTAAACAGAATTAAACTCATCAGCTCTCTGTCGGGAAACAGAAACTAGAAATATTGTCCACACTGCAGATATGTAGTTTGTTATTTTTTTTTATGCATTGCAATTTTATGACATTATAACTTATGATTGCAAAGAAAAAAGTAGCAGGGGCAGTAGGAGAGCCAGTAGTAGAAGTGAAAGTAGCAGGGGCCGCAGTAGAAGGAGCAGTAGCAGCAGCAGGAGGGGCAGTACCAGGGGCAGCAGGAGTAACAAGGGCAGTAGTGGGGGCAGCAGCAGGAGGGGCAGTAGTAGGGGCAGCAGCAGGAGGGGCAGTAGCAGGGGCTGCAGGAGCAGTAGCAGGAGGGGCAGCAGCAGGAGAAGCAGTAGCAGGAGCAGTAGCAGGAGAAGCAGTAGCAGGGGCAGTAGCAAGGGCAGCAGGGGCAGCAGTGGGAGGGGCAGTAATGGGGGCAGCGGCAGGAAGAGCGGTAGTAGGGGCAGCAGCAGGAGGGGCAATAGCGGGGGCAGGATGAGCAGCAGCAGTAGGAGTGGTAGCAGGGACAGGAGTAGCAGGAGGAGTAGCAGCAGTAGGAGTGGTAGCAGGGACAGGAGCAGCAAAAGGAGATGCAGCAGTAGGAGAGGTAGCAGGGACAGGATCAGCAGGAGGAGCAGCAGCAGTAGGAGTGGTAGCAGGGACAGGATCAGCAGGAGGAGCAGCAGCAGTAGGAGTGGTAGCGGATACAGGTGCAGCAGGAGGAGCAGCAGCAGTGGGAGAGGTAGCGAATACAGGAGCAGCAGGAGGAGCAGTAGCAGTAGGAGTGGTAGCAGGGACAGGATCAGCAGGAGGAGCAGCAGCAGTAGGAGTGGTAGCGGATACAGGTGCAGCAGGAGAAGCAGCAGCAGTGGGAGAGGTAGCAAATACAGGAGCAGCAGGAGGAGCAGTAGCAGTAGGAGTGGTAGCAGGGACAGGATCAGCAGGAGGAGCAGCAGCAGTAGGAGTGGTAGCGGATACAGGTGCAGCAGGAGGAGCAGCAGCAGTGGGAGAGGTAGCGAATACAGGAGCAGCAGGAGGAGCAGCAACAGGAGGTGCAGCAGCAGTAGGAGTGGTAGCAGGGACAGGAGCAGCAGCAGGAGGAGCAGTAACAGCGGCGGCAGCAGAAGGCGCAGTAACGGGGTCAGCAGGAGGAGGGGCAGTAGCGGGGGCAGTAGCAGGGACAGCAGGAAGAGGGGCAGTAGCAAGGACAGCAGGAGGAGGGGCAGTAGCAGGGGCAGCAGTAGGAGGAGCAGTAGCGGGGGCAGCAGTAGGAGGAGCAGTAGCGGGGGCAGCAGTAGGAGGAGCAGCAGGAGGGGCAGGGGTGGCAGCAGGAGCAGGTATTGGTGCAGCCGCTGGTACAGGAATTGCTGTAGGGGTTGTTGTCGGAGTTGCAGCTGTTGCAGGAGCGATTTGTGAAGGAGTTACTGGATACAGAGCAGCAGAGGAAGCTGATTCAGTGCTTGATGCCATTAAGCTTGCAGCCAAAGCTAACTATGAGAATGCGAAAGGGGTTGTTGAAAAAGCAGAACAGCTCCCTTCAAATGTTTTCAAAAAGTTTCAGAACAATTAATTCATGTTGAAGTATTACAGATGGTTTTCGTGTTCCTAAAATATTTGACATTGATGTGTAGAAATGATGTGGTATGATTTGATTTACTTTTGATAAATACTGTTGTTAATAATTACTGTCCTTATTCTGAGTTTTAGGGGAACTTCTCAGAATATACCTTACCGCTTGTTAAGTCGTGACATCTTGAACACTGTTTCTGGGTCCAAGCCGCTACTCATTTGAATTGAGAAAACATTTGTTTATGACCACTTTATAGTCGCACATTAAGTGAAGTTTATTCATAAACTAATTTCGAGAGGATCACGTGCTTATGATTTATCACGGCCAGTCTCGCATTTGCTAATCACTAATCTTCCAATCATATGAGCCCTAAGCCACTATAAATAGCCTCAGTTTTCAGTTCACTTTATCTTCGTTTGGAAGAAACCCCCCCTCCTCCCCTATTCTCCTCCTTTACCTGTGATTGGGCGGCACGGCGGTCCAGTGGTTAGCACTGCAAGCCACACAGCAAGAATACTGCCGGCCCTGGTTCCATGGGACCGGTGGGTGTTTCTGTGGAGAGTTTGTATGTCCTCCCCGTGTCCGCGTGGGTTTTCCCCGGGTTCTCCGGTTTCCTCCCACCATCCAAAGACATTCAACATACATAACAATCAAGCTTGTCTAATCCCTTACGTTCCCTTAGCTACAGCAGCAGGGGAGTTCTGAGATCCACCGAGCTCGGGCTCCCTTCTTGCTCTGCCAACGGGAGGAAGCCCCGGGCTCGAGGAGCCCTTGAGCTCGGGGCTCTCTCCCGGGACAGCATGCCAAATAAGCTTTGTAAATCATCAGCTAAGTGTGAACTCTTGAAACAGAATTTTATATAGAATCATGGTGTACACAACAGTCTCTAAACTCGGCATCACCAATAATTTAAAAGATTATGAAAAAAAATGTATCACTTTCTGGCTATCGGATATTTTGGTGATTTTCAAAAGTATTAGGTCGCTTTGTAAACGTTTATTATTACCATTTGGTCTGGAGTCATAATTACCATTTGTAATTATTATTTTTAATTTATTTATTTAATAGTTTTGTTTTTTTTTACAAAGGTTTATTTCTGAAGATTTTGATGTAATTTGCTCCTTCTGTGGTCCCCGACTGAAGATCTCACACATTTTTTAAAATATGAAAATGCAACACAATCTCACGGCAGTTTGTAACTTTGATTTAGTGGCTAATTCGTTTGAATTTGTATGATCTAATTTGTACAATTTAGTATGATTTGCTCATCACCCAATGACGGTTGGGGTTAGGGGTGGGGTTGGGTACCACACCTCCTTTTTAAAATCGTACATTTTTGTACGACTGAATTAATTCATACAAATTAGCCACTTAACTATTAAAAATGTAAAATACTTACGTTTCCTCGTAAGATCAGGATGGAAAATTTTATTTTAGGATATAATAATCAGAATGAACACCCCGATATTTTTTTATTTATTTAATCTTATTATATTTTTGGCCAAATATTTTAAATACAAGTGTTCATTTTGTAAGCGTAAACTTTTCTTTCAGATTTTTCTTGCATATCTAAATCTGTGTCTTTGATTTCTGAATCTACCAGAAAGCTGTAAAAGCTGTGAATCTGTTTAAAAGCTCGATTTCTGTTTTGCTCACTGGCGTGTAATGTGATAAAATGTAATGTAAATGTTTCATTTTATTATAATAAATAAGAGAAAATGAGAAAGTGAAAAATGAGGTAAAGTTATGACTTTTAACAGCAGTAAAAACGTTGATCTCAAAATTAATTTTCAATTTTTTTATCTTGTTTGGAATTTTTTTTTTGTACATACATAAGCAAAAATGCATGGCTTCCGTCCCTATTTTCGACATTTTCTGGTTGAAGTTGACTCACTACTCAAATATTTCCATATGTGTAACAACAAAAAAATGTGTCAGATTCCTGGGTTTAAATGAGGAACTGTTATCTATTGACTTTGATTTGAGTCAGATAGCTTTCTGATGCTCTTAATTAATTTATTTTTTTCATACACTTTTATACAATTGTTATTTACTTACCCCTTCCTTTGTTTTGTTAGTCTTTTTTTTTTCTTTCTGCGGCTAATGTAGTTTGTATTTTTCCTCTTTTGTATCTCTCTTATATTGATCTCCTGATGTGGTTGTATATTTTCATTCTTTAAAAAAATAAAAAATAAAAATAAATAAAAAATAAAAACGTTAATCTCTATTTGCAATGTTTATTAGCCTAAATAGATTTTGATTTAAAAATAGATTTTTGCTGAGTCGCATTAAAAACATTTTTTTTTCCGAAATGTACAATAAATATGTTAACAGATACCATAAAAGCGCTTTTAAAACATGCACTACCACATTATTATTCATGAGAGGGAAAGTTATTTAAATGACGACCATCCAATCACAGAGCTGCATGTTACGAGCGCGGGAGCGATGGAAAATTCCAGATGCCAATGCCAACACAGAGCAACTGACACGCAGCGTTTCCCCCCCAGAAACACGGTAAATTCAGTACAGTACGCCGCTAATTTGTGTGTTTTTACACAATATTTATTTGTCATAATGGTGTAAAAATGAACCTGTGCCATAGAGATACACATTTAGTCGAACTCCACAGTGAACACGAAGGCTTATGGATTGTTATTCAGGTGAATGGACGACGACGATGATAATGGCGGACATTTTAAAGAGGAATACACAGAGAATTAATTGTTAGCTTAAACGTGTTAAAACTGTAAAGAGCTGGAAGTTTGTAGTCTTGGTAAATTTTAAAGTAACGTTAGCTTTATATGCTTCCTCAGTTGCAATAATCATTGATATATACAAATGTTAATTTAACTTTGTTTGATTTTACAAGGTCAGACAGTTGTTCGTTTATATCATGATTACTGGTGTTTTGGGGTCTTCTAGACAGGGAGTGAACTATTTTTAAGCATCTTCAAAGCCTAACTTATCTGAATTTGTATATGATTTCAATTTTATTGTGTGATTTGTATGCTTTTGTCATGTTTGAGTCCATTTAAAGTCTGTTAGCACTGTTTTGTGAAAGGTATTTTGATGTTGAATCAAGTTTATTTAGCTAACCTTAACACTTTTGAAGACATCTTGTTACTGTGAGTAAAACAGTGTGTTCGTCTGCACAAAATACACAACTCAAATGTTGCGGTTACAGCATCTGCCAGCAGAGGTCAGCAAGTACCAGCCAAAGCTTAAAAATGTATATAGAAATGAAAAGAACATGTATCTCCGGTTGCACACACGATGCTTAAGGCTAGCCTTTGGTTGAATTGGATGTTTGAGCTGTCTTAAGTGAAAATAACTTGCCGTTAGATACCTTAAAAATACCTTAGTGGCATTGTTTTGTCTCTAGAATTCACACCAATAATGTGTTTTTTACAGCAATTTTATAAAAGTGCCTTTAATACGTAATTTAACTAAGTTCTAAGTTAGTCCTGACTCAAGCTAAACATTGTTTGTAAAACTGGACCTTAATGTTTTCTAATATATTGGCAGTGTTTCATTGTTGAACTTAAGCTACTCTTGCTTATTTAAAAAAAAAAAACTATCAGTAGATGGTGATATTCTTGCTTGGGTTTGGGTGATGTTCTTGCTTTATTAAAGTGATATTCTTGCTTGGGCTAGTTAGGTCAGAATGTAAACACAAAGTCTTCAAAAATGCACATTAAAACAAGTATTTATATTTCAAATCCAGTCTACACAGCCTGGCAAAACATGGTCAATTCAATATGTTGACAAAAATCATGATTCAATATTCTGTTCATATTCTGAATACTTCCTCCGCATTTAAAACAGATGTGTGATTTATTTTAATGTAACTAGTCTATATTTATTAAATCCAGATTGATTACAGTAGCCACTTCAACATTTTGTTAATTTAATGTAAGGACAGTTTGTTATTTAATTCTGATTTTGTTATTAGTTTAATATTAAGAAATTCTCTTTTTTGGAAGGTTTCATTTTACCCAATATATAAGCACATGTATAGTATACTGCAGATATGAAAATGTTTTGGGGAGAGACTTTTAAGGGTAAAGTCTAGATCAGATACGCAGCAGAAAGTGCGATGTGCACATCCATATAGCAGCATTTTTTATGATGCTGTATAATAATAATCAATATTTTTACAATACTGTGATGGTTGGATTGGGGATAGCATAATAAAATAAGATTTATTGGGTAATTTAATAGATAACAAAAATAATACTTGATACAACTACTGTTTTTACATTACTGTGATTGGGTTTAGGGTTATATAATAATATAAAATATAATAATTGGGAAATTTGGTAAATAATAGAAATAATTCTCAAAAACTTCTGACCGCAACCGTATCCGATCTAACAATAACCACTTTTTAGTGATGCTATTAGTCATCAAACAGCCATTATTTACTTTAGTTTAGAGTTTATTCCTTGGTTGTGTTAATACAGTACTTCTCAGTATTGTTAGTGAAGTATTTATGACATGTGTTTGTACATACATCATACAATACAGATTAACAAATTAGGTGTGCAAAAAATATAGAAATATTAGATGCACTTGGCCTGAAAATCTAATCTTAAAATGCTTGTTAATTATTATAATTTTATCAAATAACATGAAGTAAATTTGTAAGATTTGTTAAATTTATCTCAATAATTTTAATAAATATAACAAATAAGTAAATAAATTATCCATAAATCTGTGTCGTATATGACGAGCTCCTGCGAGAATAAATTGCGACGAGATTTCTCGTCTAGGTGAAAAGTTGTCTCACGAGTTGTGACGTAATGATGGAATGTTATAAAATTAGCATTGAAGATTCTTTAATTAAATAAATAAATAAAAGATTAAATACAATGTTTTTAAAAAGCACCTAAATTGTTTTGCAATTTGCAATTTTTTTTTCTTTTTTACTTTATTAATTATTTTTTTCTTTTTTTTCTTTTTGAAAAAAAATTGTTTCTAGTTCAATTAAAATCTATTTTTCATTCATATATTAGCAAATATTTTTGACACATTTAGTCTCAAAAACATGATGGCGTTACATGTGTAGCCTGAATTTTATTTTAAATTTTTTATGCAACCCTTTCTTAATTCTTTGCATAACGTCTTGAATCAAAGACACATAATTTAACTACTTCTTATGAGCTACAATATTTGTTAAACAAATTTTACATTTTAGAAGTTAAAGCATACATTAAAACTGTAGAACAGAAGGACTAAAATATTAAAGGAAATCAATTATTTCATTAGTGCATAAAGTAGTCTATTCATGAAGTGTGTTGAATTGAACTGGAGCTATTAATAAGATTCTTTTGTCATAAATTCAAAAAATGTTGTCAGCAATGTGTCTACTTTGTCCATTTGTGATCAGATTGATGAAAAAGAACCTGAATACCTGTGTAAACAAGGTCTAAATTACTAATTTTTTTTTTTTTTGCTTTGGAATCAAATGGGAAATCAATCAGAAATTGAGGTGCAGATTCGAAATTGGAATCCGAATTAATAACTTTCAAGCGATACCCAACCCTAAGAAGCAACACCGATTCAGCACGATGATGAATACAGACAACATAATTTCCCAAATGTTTACATCCCAAGGCATAACAAATTGAATAGTAGTCAAGTCAGAAAGATGGACATAATTATTGGTCATAGCTAGGCCCACAAGGAATCTGCGCGCACAGAATTCTGCAGATTTTTAGCCCATCATTAATTCAGTTTTATTCACTTGTGCAAATCTATATTTATTCCGTTTTTAAAATAATTACAGTAATATTATTGACTAATATAAAAATGTTCATCTGATTTATGTACAACGCAGCTTGTACAGTAATATTTTCTGTATTTTAGTAGAAATATTATATGAGAGACTTGATTTGTTTTCCAAATAAAGTAAATCCATATTGGATTTGCATTTTAAACATTAAATAAAACGTTAAAAAGATATTAGTTTTTATATCATCATATCATATCATATCAATTATAATACTCCCAAATAATTCCGCAGAAATCCGCAGATTTTTACCCAAATTCTTTGCCGAAATAGCAAAAAACGTCTGCAGATTCCGTCTGGTCCTAGTCATAGCTGGCTCTTACTGTTGAGAAGCAAGGCTTAATTTGCGTTTCGTAACATTCATTCAGCTGTCTAGATGAGGTGCTTCTCAGATCTCCAGTGTGTCACGTGAGTTTTGGTTCTGGGCTTCTGGACCATGTACACTCACACTTTTATTTTCACAAGAAAGCTTCTCCTACTTTAGTGCACACTTATTGACCTTATTCTCCACCGACGAGCAAGCGCTGCCATTTGAATCTTTTTGGCTCGAGACTTCCCGTCTCATTCACTTCCATTCATTTTTAGACATTAAAAACTGCTCATTACGCTGCTTGATGTTGCAATTTGATATTTTCTTTTTATATTATTCTACTTGGTCTGTATAGTCATGCAAACATTTGTTTGTAGAGCAAGTAGTTTGACCGTTTTCTGCCGTTTATTATTCCTAGTCATCTCTCCCTTAGGTGACTGAATCTGAAGTTCTAAGACAATCGCGAAAACAGGCGCACTTCCGCATTTTAGAATAAGGTCAATAGGACATTTACTTGCAGAGGGCTGTGTTTAAGCACATGCATTCTAGCATACACAGAGCCAGTTCAGAGTAATTAAAGGAATCAAGGAAATGCAGAATACATTTTTTATTTTATATGCATTATCTGTATGCGTATTGAACCATGATGAGCGTAGTGAACAGATCAATTTTGTCCTCACAAGCACATTATATTTGTTTTGGTTTCTGAGTCACACTTTAAAAGATCACTTGAAGATTTTTGACAAAAATTCACTGAAAGAAGATATGGTGTCCAGAGTGAAAACTGTGTCAATACCCAATTCTTCAAACTGCAATAAATCCATGAGCAGCTCTTTCTGGAGACTCGGAGGATGGAAAATAAAGTTTTTTGCAAGGAAAGCGGTACGTTTTCTATTCAGTCTCACATTGCTTCCTCTCATTTCAGCTGTTTTCAGCTTCACCACAGCATCTTGAATTAACTTTTTGAGCTTGTTTACTACCAAATACTTCGCCAGGTACTGTGTGGCGAACAAAGTTTTACCTTCAGCTTCCGGCTCTTTGCTTGATGCACAAATGGCATTGAAAACCTTCTCCACATGTAACTTATATGAATCCATTCCCTCATCAGCCTTTTCCAGATCAGCCAGTGCTTGAGTAATATAACCAGCGTCCTTCTTCATAATTGTGGCCAGTGCACGATTATAGAGAGGAATAATCAACCCAGATGACCCATCCTCCTCCAAAGCTTTGGTGTACATCTCAATGCTCTCCGCAAGGTGTCCTTGTTTACGAAGACTGTTTCCAGACCTGATGTAATAGTAGACCATTGAGGATGGAGATTGTTTGCTCAGAAGTTTCTGCTTTGCACTTGACAAGTCCACTTTCAGCTTTTCCTTCAGCATCTCTGTGGGCTTTTCCTCACTGGAATTCATCAGGAGCCACAAACCCCAACTCTCATGAAGAGAGGAAACAATCACATCACGCTGGTCAGAAAAAGCATCATCTTTATAAATTTGGTCCAAAACGTCAAGGTAGATGGAGAAAAGCTCTTCCTCTATAGAGATTTTTGCAACATCTTTTTCAAGAAACATTGAGAGTCTGACATTCACCAGAAGATTTCTGGCATCCTTTACTGCTTCTAGATTGCTTTTCTGAACTGGGTTTAAGTTCATGGTTAGGAAATCTTTAAGAGACGAAATCATCACCTCATGGGTTTGAGCACTGAAATTGTCCAAGTAGCGAACAAAAATGTTCTCAAATCGCCTTTCTGTGGGGCTAAAAGGCATTGGTATAGAGTTTGGACTGTTTAGTTGGCTGAGGTAACTGGTCAAAGATGTGTTCACACCCATCACTAGTTTGACTGATTCAGAGAAATGGCTGGCACACATGATGAGTTGAGCAGATCCTGGACTTCCTTGTCGAGCCGTTCGTCCAAACGCTTGCTGTTCAACACGGATGTTCAGAGGTAAGAAGGTTTGCAGCACAAACAGACCTCCTGCTTCATTTACACTTTCACTGACCTTTAGGTCTGTACCTCGACCTGCTAGATTAGTTGCAATGATCACGTCACCGCCTTCAACAGTTTGATCTATCACTGTGGAGTTATTCATGTTGTTATTCACGTACAGTTTCAGTTTGTCTATTGAAATGGTTTCTGCAAGGGTCATGTGAAACATTTCCGCACGATTGATTGTTTCACAGATGATGAGAGCTGCTCTTGGACCTCGATAGACTGTAGGAAACACTTGATGTTTAACAGCATCACAGATGGTCCTGATCCACTCGTCCTCTTCAGGAATCACCAGGTCTTCCAGCTCGTAAAGTTTCCTCCTTCTGAATGAGGGAATGTTGCAGGTCTTCATGCCATTGTAGAGTTTTTTCAGCATGTCAAGCTCTGTTTGATCACCTAAAGTTCCCGTTATCCCAAAGATCTGATCATTGTATTTCTTGAATAAGCCAACATTGGACATGAAGTTTGTTATAAGACTCATATTGGAGAGTTTGGTTTGGTGTTTCATCTCCAGGAACTGCTGAAGTCCTTCACCCCATCTCATGTTGTTCTGGACAACACCAGTGCATTTATAATCCACAGGAACAACTCCGTCTTCATGAAGAATATATTCATGACCCAGAGTCATTTTAGTGGCCTGCAGAGCATTTTCAATCCAGATTTGTGCTTTGCCATTGATGAGGTCTTCACGGTTTGGGATTGGGGATTTATTTTGCTCCCTTGTTGTCTCAGTCTGAAAGGACAGTTTAATCCTATTTCCCAGTTCCATTACTAGTGCGTCTTCGTTTAAGTGCACAACACGATATTGTCCATGTCCTAGGAGAAGAAGAGATCTTTCTTGACTTTTAATTGTTCTTGCGCCACTAATTTCATTTAGTTTCCTTAAAGTCCCATCAGATGATTCCTGGTAAAGTTTGAAGGAATATTCAGGGAAATATTGAACAAACATGGTTAAAAAAGCAACCATTTGGACAATGCTTGCATTATCTAACTGTCTTAAAACTTGAGGAATTTTATTTTGCATTTGCATTGTGGGTATTATAGGCATAATTCCTGCATCCACAGCCGCCTGCACAACACTGATTTGATCAATGTCTTTATTTTCAAGCATGATTTCAATCAGAACCTGAGAGAAATTCTGAAAGTAACCTAAAATTTCTCCACTATCTAAATACTTCAGATAACTGATGCCAAGCCAGATTTCAGAAAGTATCCCATTAAAAGATTCCATGAGAGGCACATCAGTGTTCAAGTAGACCACTTCAAGACCTTTGTCCAGCATTAGCGAGTCCACCTCGTCCACTATCACACACTGAAACTCTCTCTTAGGTCTCACTTCTCTCCTGTGGAAACGCTGCCGCAGAAAATCACCTGCAAAGCTATCAGATGTACCGTAGACCACCTGACATTCATAGCACTCTTTCAGCTCTTTGTCGTTTGATTTGTTGGTGTTTACATCAGCAGTGATCTTCAGTTCTTTATAAAAGTGAAGCCATTCTCTACAGTCTCTTTCTGCAAGTACTGGAGAACTGGAGATGATGTCTGGGGTTTTTCCCATCATGACCTGATATGCTGCAAACATGGCCACAATACACGACTTTCCTTCTCCTGTTCCAACCTGAACCAGCCGACTGGATTCAGAAAGCACCAGAATGCACCAGCTCACCATCTGAGTCAGTCGAGGTGTGAGATTCATCGTCTTTTCTACAGCTTTGCAGAGTTGAAACAGCCGTTGCTTTATTCCTTGTAGATGTGATGCTGAAGAAGCTGATAGACATTTGGACACAGAGCTCACAATGTCTTTCACTTCTGCCAGAGTTTGTTCATCTATAACTGCTTGCTCTTCAATTTCCTTTAGAATCTCATCCAGTGTTTTCTCCTCAGTGTTTCTGGTTATTTTGTTAATTTTGTCCTCAACATCATCCACAATCTCACCATTCATAGTCAAATCTGATACGCTTATTTTGTGAATCTCCACTTGATGAAGGGTTTTCATCATCCATGTGTGAAAATCTTCATTCCTGCCATTAAACTGCTCCACCAGGGCTTTAAACAACTTCACAACATCATCTTTATCCCATTGTCCATTCTTGAGCAGGGAAAGCAGTCGTGCTGACAGCAGTTTTCCTGATGACTCCATTTTCAAGAGTCTGAAAGTTGTCTTAATATTTTTTCACAATGCAGCATCTTTCTTTGTGTTAAAAAAGAAGCGTAGAAGTAAATTAAACAACTACTAAAATAACTTGCATAAACACAATGACAAATAAACACTGTGCGCTGCCATCCAAAATGTTTGGAAGCAGTAAGATTTGTTAATGTTTTAAAAGAAGCCAATTCTGCTCAGTAAGGCTCTATTTATTTGATCACAAATACAGTGAAAACTCTTCGATTGTGAAATATTAGCATTATAAAACAGTTTTCTTATTAAATGCAGTTTTAAATTCCTGTCATTTAAAGCTGTATCATTGACTGTCGCATGATCATTCAAAAATCATAATATGATGATTTGCTGTTGTATTATGATCCATTATTATGACTAATAATGATTTTTACAATTGTCAGCGCTAGAAAGATGTTCCTCCTGCTTCATCTTATCGTGGAAACTGTGATGCATTTTACTTTCAACATTCTTTGATTTAAAAAGAAAGATCAATATACTACTTTACATTTTGATTCTTTTTTACATTTATAAATGTATTTAAACTATAAAAGACTGAAAATTAAAGCTTAAACTGTCAGTTTGTAACTCATCAATAAGAAATGATGAGTTTTTAAAATTGTAATAATATTTTAACAGTTTTTAATGTATTTGTTGCAGTGTTAGGCTGTAGCGTCGCTACAAGTAGTGGCACTATTAGCTTAACTACATTTTTCAGTAGCGTGGCGGTAGCATCGCTACTTTCTAAAACAAATAGCTTTTCAGTAACAAAGCTAAGATTTTTTGGAAATAGAACAGTAGCGTCCACACAAGTTACTTTTACCGATCGTTGATCATTAAGTAATGCCACTGCCATTCACGGATCTACGAGGTTGGTGTCTGGCTGATGAAGGTAAATCCATTTTATAGTGAGAATGGTGAGTTCTTTGCGTTTTAAGGTGGTTGAAAACAAACTTTTGGGTGAGTTACTGTCTGCCACCTCTCGCTGGTCGAGTCAGTCATTGGGCTGACATGATAAGCTTGCTTGATGGGAAGATGACTGTAGAGGAATTGTTTCTGAAGCAGGACCATACCTCGAGAAGTACATGTTATTTCTCACGCTGTACTCTTGTTAGAGTTAAATTGTTTTTTTATGTATTTACTGTTTGTTCTGCAAATGTGCCCAAGTGCACTTACATGAGAAAAAAAAAAAACTGTATATGTGTGTGTGTGTGTGTGTGTGTGTGTGTGTGTGTGTGTGTGTGTGTGTGTGTGTGTAGTTAATTGTAAATACAGTATTCAAAGTATCTAAAATACTGTAGTGTTTTTGAACAATACTACAGAGAAATAATTGAATTAATTTGTTGTGGTACTTTTACAGTTGGAATACATATGTATATATGACTGCATTGTTCTCTACAATTTTATATTGATTTTTTTTATTGTTGTGAAAGCTAAAGTATACTTTATTAGTATTAGTTCATGATAGTTACTAATAATACTATACTGTGAAGAGTTGCAGTGATGCAAAACCCTCTAAATCCATCAGAACTCTTTTCTTGTAAACAAGCATTTTCTATCAGGCTCCTATAATTAGGTTCAGAAGTTTCAGTTTATAGATAACGAAAAGGTTATCATCTAGTAAATAAAAAAAAACATTTTTTTTCATAAATGTCACTTTAGGCATTTCTTTGGTTTTTAACAAATTAGATTTTCTTTTGTGTCAAAACCAGCTAAATCCATGTCTGCTTTTATTGCAAAGACCTCTAAATCCACCTATCGGGACTAAACAGTGGATTTAGTTGAAAAATTACTAAAGATGCAATTAGAAATAACTTTACTAAACATAAAACACATTACACAAACCACCTGAAATTAAAAATACATCTATTAAGCAAGTGGCTGTTCATTCCGCTGTGGTAAACCATTCATTTTCCTTCTGCTTTTTCCCTGAATGAAATCTGTCAAGTCCATTAATCAATAACATTAAAACTGACAATAATTAAATCTGAACAATCTGTCATTTTATAAAATTTGGGATTTAGATTTAATGTAAGTAGGACATTGTAAACATTGAAAACTAAGCTGAAATACTGTAATGTAAAACATTGTGAAACATCAATATCTGTGCATTGTCTATTAATACAAAAAGCTTATCAAATGTATTGGTAATATGAAGTAGGTCAATATAAATGTATAGTTTTATACATTTATCCTTTTTAAAATAGCTTAAATAAGCAAATAAAACACAAGGTAGGCCTACTAGGCAAAAGGGATGCGTCAGATCATTTTAGAAGCTGTCATTTATTCATTCTCACCATACTTTAGGTCTTGGTTTCTTTTTTTTAACGTGCAAACAACGATCTTGACATTTAACACTGCTCTGACGACAATTGTCATTGAAGTAATCTCATAGGTATTCAGTAGATCTGTGCAAAAGGCCTGCCAACACAAACAAATCCTGGTAGAAACAGCATAGATGATTGCTTTACTAGACATTAATACAATATTTTAAATGTGCAACACCTGGTTTTCTTGATTATTTTGTTTTTGCTGTCTGGTAAAGTTTGTTTCTGTTTGGAACCGCATATTAATTAAAGTAAATAACATAACAATTATGCTTCATATGCTTCACTGGCTGCTTTATTGATCACCTAAGACAGAACTGATTTGGATTGAAGCTAAAAATGAAAAATAAAGAGGCTTAGATTTAGCTAAACTACTTATGCCATGTTGCTTTTAGCGTAGCTTGCTACACTTCCCAGGGGGTAGCTTTTAGTGTAGTAAAGCTACATTTTAAGTAGAGTAACTAATAGCTTAGCTCACTACATTTTCCAAGAAGCTTTTCCAGCACAGATTTTTTGATTCAATAAATGCAGCCTTGGTGAGCAGAATTGGCTTCTGTTAAAACATTACTGCCTCAGTATTTAATAGGTGATCTTAGAGCATTTATATCAGGTACTTACTTTATTTGATTCCAAATGGCTGAATAAGTTGTCGCAGTAGCTCGTCCTGATTTACTTCTGAAAAGTGTTTCTTTCTTGATAAGAGGAAGACGGCTCTAGTGCTGTGGAATTTCCAAATGTATTGGAACTTGTCGTCAGCTCACTGTTGTCCCGTGGTTTAAGTAACATTAGCTGTGCTGTAATGAACATTGTGGTAAATTCCACAAGTCTGAAATTCTGTGCAAACTTAAGTGACTTCATGACTAAAAACCCAAGTAGCCCATTTCAACATAACTGTACATGTGTAGTCAAACTACTTGTCATCTTATTTTTAAACTTATTTGACCTTTGCATGCACGCACACACACACACAAACACTAAAGGGTTGTTTTAGTATCTCACTGTATAAGTTAAGACAATTGAGCCCTCACAAGTATGTCTAAACCTGTACACACACGTATTGTGATTCATTTTTTTTGATTGTCTGATTGTATGCGTTCACTATAGTTTTGGTAAGTACTGAGAATATCTAATGGTATTGTTTACGGTAGTTGTGTTACCAGGTATCTTTGTGTTTCAGGTGTGGTTTTGTGCTACTTTACCAGGTGGTTATGTGTAAGATTTTGTAGGGGAGAGATGTATTTTAGTATATAGATATAATAAACAACAGTCAAAAACAAACACAAGGAAGCAAATACTCGTTCATTCATTCATTTTTCAATTAATATACAATTCATTTTCCTTCAGCTTAGTCCCTAAATTCATCAGGGGTCGCCACAGCAGAAATAACCACCAACTTATGCATACGTTTTACACAGGGGATGCCCTTCCAGCTGTAATCTAGTACTGGGGGAAGCAAATGTTAAAGTGAAATAAACAGTGCTTTATGATTTTCTGTGGAGAGACTAATAGCATTCGGGTACAGAAACTAAATAATCAAATGTAAAATAATAATGCGTAGTCTTCATCAAGTGAATTTAAAATGAATTTTTATTAAACTTCTTGGGCGAGGCAGTAGGTAGTGCTGTCGCCTGACAGCAAGAAGGTTGCTGGGTCGCTGGTTCGAACCTTGGCTCAGTTGGCGCTTCTGTGTGGAGTTTGCATGTTCTCCCTGCTTTTGCGTGGGTTTCCTCCGGGTGAATTGGGTAGGCTAAATTGTCCGTAGTGTATGAGTGTGTGTGTGAATGTGTGTGTAGATGTTTCCCAGAGATGGGTTGCGGCTGGAAGGGCATCCACTGCGTAAAAACTTGCTAGATAAGTTGGTGGTTCATTCCGCTGTGGCGACCACGCATTAATAAAGGGACTAAGCCGACAAGAAAAAGAATGAATGAATGATTAATCTTCTTTATGTGCTATTAAAATGCTTTTATTTTGTTTTTCAGATATTGTTCTGTGTTTTTCTACACACAATAGAGATGTTGGTCTATATATGGAAGGAAACTGACTGGTGCTCATCTAATCAGGACCATGTGAAGTGTACACTTGTGTTGTGGTAAGTCATAATGGTCTGCTTTAAGTCGTGTAGTTTTCTGCTGAACAATGCTTTAAAAACCTCTGTAGACCTTTTTGTTAAAGGTGTTATATTCTTTGCTTGTTTTAAAAGCAGTAAACTACAGTGCATCTGAAAAAGCAGAGGAAATTTGGCTATTTTACAATATATATATATATTTTAATATGTTTGAGGTGTTTTAAGCCAGTGTGTTCAAAATCTGATTAAAACTAGACACTGTTTGCTATCATATGACACAGATATTGTATTTGCAGCACAAACAGAAAATGCACAGTTTAGTTTCAAACAGGAGGAGCGACATTTTACACGTCACCTTATTGTCTAGGTTTGGTGTAACACCCTGGGGGGAGATGCAGCATTTTGATTTTCACAAGGGTTGAGATGGAACATTATAAAATAAAAAAATAAAAATAATGTTTGAGTATGCTTTGAAAATGCACACAGTTGTCTATAAAGTCCAATCAATTGTCTGCAGACCTCTGAGGCAGAATTGTATCAAGGGTTAGGGTTAGTTATAGAGCCCAGGTCTGGGTAAGGCTACAAATAAA